CAAAAACAAAATCTGCAACATTGCAGCCTTCCCTTAGTAAGGAGAGTCTTAAAGCATTGCAGGTACCAATAAGACTACTTTCTTGAGAAAAGTGACATTTTGGGCCCTTATTACACAGGGTAGCGAGAGATAACGATAACAGATAAGAAAAATGTAGGTAAACAATGTCTGAAGAACACATCCTACCTTCCTTCTGTAAAAGGAATTTTTGAGTCCACTGGAATTTTACTGAAGGTGTAACCACATTACAACTCCAGTGTGAGGAACCCCCTGCAAATCCCAGATGGTGTGAGGAACCCCTTGCAAATTCCAGATGGCACTCCTCAGTGCCTAATGCCATCATTCCATTCCTTTAAAATGTTTAATAAATGGTGACTATTATCTATGTCATCTTAACCTCTCAACATTAACTGATATTATTATCCCCATTTATATGAAGACAGAAGGGCTCAGAACTGTTACAGTAACAAAACAAGTGGCAAAGACAGGAGACAAACTCAGGTCTGATTCCGAAGTCTGTGCTTTTCCCATCAAACTGTGCAGCTTGGATGAAAAACCTTTGATATCATGTGTTAGATCTGCCTCTTTCTTTTGAATGCATCTATCCTTTAAAGTCAGAATCATGTCAGAAATCGGGATAAGTGTATCTTGAAGAGGAGGGCAGGGGAGAATAAAATTTTCTTGGGCTCTTTGTTCTAATTTAACCCATACTATTATTTATGGTGTCAAATACATGCATGTTTATTGTGGAAAAATTAGAAAGTTCAGATAAATTGAAAGAAAAACTCATCAAATAAAAATCACCTGCAATCCCACCACCCACAGCACAGGTGTCTCTAGCTTCATTTGACCTCAGCAAGACGAAGCAGAGCATGACAGTATTGTCCTACCTAACATCTCTCCTCTTGTCACACAAACATAATCAGACTTTGGTCTAGAAAGTGCTGCAAATGTCAGATGAGGCAACAGCAGAAAAGTCTTTAGGTTTTGACAATAATCACTGCTCTATCATAGTCTCATTGGCATTTACACGATGTAAAGTTGAGAAGTTTGAATAAATTCTTTTTTTCTCTTTAAACCAGCAAACTATTTGTTAAGTAAAAAGACTCAGTATAGGCAGATAATTCCATCTTTACTGAAAACATCAAACAACATACTAAAAAAAATCTCTAGTACACAATCATTAGCAGTATATTTCAAAGAATGAGATGATTCTAACTATCACAATGCAGGAGTATAGCAGTTAATAGGCCTGGGTTTAAATCCTAGCTTCACCACTTATTTCATGACCTTTGGGCAAGTGACTCAATCTTTGTGGGACTCAATTTACTTATCTGTAAAGCGGGGATAATGATAGTGACTCTTTAGGAAGATGCTATAGAGCTTAACATCGTGTACATGAAGAGCAGTAAAAGGAAATTTTAACAAGTTCAAATCTTAAAAATTTAAGATTTTAAGGCTTAATTTTTTAATAAATATTTTTTCTTTAAAAATCTATTTTCTGGGCTTTCCTGGTGGCGCAGTGGTTGAGAGTCCACCTGCCGATGCAGGGGACACGGGTTCGTGCCCCGGTCTGGGAAGATCCCACATACTGCGGCTGGGCCTGTGAGCCATGGCCACTGAGCCTGCGTGTCTGGAGCCTGTGCTCTGCAACGGGAGAGGCCACAACAGTGAGAGGCCCGCGTACCGCAAAAAAAAAAAAAAAATCTATTTTCTAAGATAGTAAATACCAATGTTTCTTCATCAGACAATGACTAGCTTTAAGAGCATTGCTACATTTACTAAGAATTAAGATATTAGGCTCTATTTTAAAAGATATGGGAATGAGTACCATGATGATTAACTCAACTACAAAGGTACTAGAGGACTCCATTGGAGTCCTAGAGGACTCCATTGGGTACTCAGAGCTGTATAGCATTTTTATTCATTTCTAATCAGCAACTTTTCTTATTTTCCAAATTTACCTCCCTTTCCCTCTCAGCAGCTCAGAATAAATACCATTATGAATGAGCTTCCGATGTACTCCTTAAAGCACTCCTCCTCTCATCTAAAAGATGGCAGTTAGATAATTCAACTATTTGACACTGTGCCAACTAACAGATATGCTGTCATTCCCCGATACCCACAGCCAGCATCCTTTCTCTAGCAGCTATCCTGTTCTCAAAGTTTGGTTTTTCTTCTCCAGCCTGTGGGATGTGAGGAGCAGGAAACAGCATGGTAAGCAGTGGTCTAACTGCAGAGCAAAGGGTAGTTGCAGGTCCCTGCAGCATTTTATCTGCAGTTCATCTGCACTGGAATAATTAAGAGTTGACTGTGGTTCTGTTTGAGTTTGGGCTATTATATTTCATTCTTTCTCTATTACCCTGGTTAACTAAGACTGTATGTATGTAGCAAAAACTTTATATATGATTACTTTTTGACTAAGAATGACGATTCTAGAGAAAAAAATCATAAATGTATATTGTTCATTTATTAAAATAACTTAAATACCACATAACATTATTTATCATTACGTAAATGATGATACAGACATGGAATACTCAGCAGCCATTATAAATAATTTTGTTAAAGATTATTGAAATAGAAAAACATTTACAATGTGAAGCAGGCTACAAAACAGTATGGAGAATATATTTTTGTGAAGAAAAATGAAAATACATGCATGGAAAAACTACTAGGACATACATTAAAATATTAACAATGTTACCTTAGAGCTGTGGAATAAATTTTTTTTCTTTGTACTTTTTGGTGTTTCCCCCAAATTTATGCATTAAGCTTGTATTAATTTTGTAAATAGAAAAAAGCAAAATGGATGCTGATTTAATGAGAGAAAGGAAGAAGGAAGGTGCCAGAACCCTGGGGAATATCTATATTTAAGGTATTTGAAAAAGAGGAACCAACATCTTAGACTTGCACTTTTTAAGAACTAACCTTTCTTTTTTGCTAGTTTCTATCTATTTTAGCTTCCTAGCTGCCTATCAGTATAATAATACTTAACTAAGCCTTAAGCATCTAGGCTAAAATAAGGGAAAAAGACATAAAAGTTTTTTGTAAAACAAAACAAAAACAAAACATACCCCCAAACTAATATTTCTTAGAGTCCTAGTGGTCCCATGAACAAATGCTGGCCATAGACATGACAGAATCTCTGAAATTTTAAAGAGGTCCTTTAGTTTAATACAGTGGAGGTAAGAAATCTTCCTGGGTAAAGAGGTACTTCTGGAAATTGTATTAATCCTTTCAGGCTAAAGTAGTACCATTTATAAATGCTTCTGCAGAACACTAACTGTTTCTACAGAATTGAAAGAATCCTTTCCATTTTACTCTAGAGGGTTTAGGAGTAATCCCAGGAATGACTGAGCTAATCCATCTTACAATTTTGGCCACTGTTCTAAAATCAGGGTTATCATATAAAACATCTCATACAGAGGCCTTAACATATAATTCCTACACACACTACTAACAAATAGCCATAATAATATAGTGCTCTATGAAACTAAAAAACAAAACTGTATTCACATGCTTTAAATGTATTCCCATAATAAATAAATAAAAAGACACAGAAAAACCATCTGTAAAATTACATGTATTAGGCAATTACAATTACATGTAATCTGTAAAATTACATGTATTAGGCAACAGGGAATTACACAAATTGGAAAAATGAAAGCGTTTTTAGGAATTTAGGAAATTATAGTGAAAATTAAGTCTAAAGGTTTAAGAGTGTACTGTGAAGGGACTTCATTTCTAGATTTTACCAACAACTCTCTCAGAGTACAGCTTATTTGAATAAATACTTTTGAGAAGCACCTGCTTGGAAACAGACTTCCCACCTGGTCAAGGTAACTGTAACAATTACATAGGAAGCAAGACTTGTTTCAAGATGTGACTGCAGGTATTTCTCATGTAATTGAAGTTACATAGCTGTGGAAACTTAAAAACTTTTAAATCTGAGCTTAGGTAAGTAAACTTCAAAGCACTGTGAGCAACCAAAAGGAACTAGGGAATACTAGAAAATGGGCATCTAGCTTAACTGAGGCCAAAAATATCACTGTGAAAAAGTGGATCCCAAAGAAATATAAGCTCCTTAAGGACAGAGATGTTAGTGTTTTGTTCCCTGCTGCATCCTAGAATCTAGAACAGTGCCTCCCAAATGATAGACACTCAGTATTTTCATTAATGAACAAATCAGAGACCCTTCCTGGTGTATATTAGGAATCAATCCAAATTCACTTCTTATATCAATACTTAATAATCTCCCATCAACTGGAGAAGCTGTTACTGAATGACTAACATACTATGAAGCTAACTGTACTATACTGTATATTTTTGAGTGAAATGAGTGATGAAAAATTATGTTTTTTACTTTTGAAAAGCCCAGATCCCAGTAATTTTGAAATTGGTATGCCTGTTACTAAAGTAAGAGTATGACAGTATTTTGGGGACATAGCATTTAATGTATTTCCATCTTCTTAAAACCCTTCAAAACACGACAAGAAAAACTAGTGCTAACGTACAGGTGCTGCTTCCTCCAGACACTGGTGCATCACTTAAGACACTTGTGCCAGCATCTGCCAGGCAGTGCTAACAGATGGAAGACATTAATCATCTGGTTGGTGTTCCCACTTTGTCCATCCAGCTTCAAATATAACTGTACTGAGCTAGATGAGTCAGCATCTGGTCCACCAAAAGCTAATGCATCACTCCCAAAGCCAAAAGGAGAAAGTTCACACTTCAGAGTCCTGAATCAATGCCAAGAGTATCTGCGTTGCCTCAAGGTTTCAGACTCCCTGATGATCTTTAGCTCCCTGGATACCAAGGCAAAGACAGATCTGAAAGCTCCCCAAAACAGGTAGGTTGTCATATACAAGACTGCAGCCCCAGGCAATATAGATGGTATTTGTTCGCACCATGGATTAACTGCTTTGAAGGATCAAAATGCAGAAGACAGAAACATTCAACATTTAAGACAGTTTTCTTAATAATAAAGCACTAAAAAATGTGAATAAGTCATACTTTCATTTTTCAGAAGCGAAAAGGACAAGTGGCAACTTGCCTTTGGAAAACACATTAATATCAGAGTAATAAGCTATCTATCTCATGGAGACAGCAGCCTAAGAAAGACTATTATCATATAAATCTCAAAGTTCTATTAAATAAATCTCAGAATAATGTTTTTAACTGAGAAAACAAGACAAAAACACCAGCAACAACAAAAAATTAAACAGAATCTGTAAAGTGGTATATGAAGATGGAAAAAGGAAAATCTGGAAATCTACACACTGAGAGTTCTCTATTAAAATCAAGGAGGCCCAAATCCTAAAACAGAAAAAAGAAATATGTTAAAACACAATCTTTTAAAAGAATCCAATGAGGTTTTTATAGATACACATATTAATGCTTCATTTATTCAAGACATTTTTTTCTTACACTGGGAGCACTTCTGCATGCATTGTAGCAGATTATATGAATGACAATGCAGAGATATGCCTTCTCAATAGGTCCTTCTAGTTTTAAATTTTAAATTTGAGTCTGGAATCCTAATTAAATGTTTAGATAGTAGGCTACAGATATTGTTTTTTCAATTACATTTGCTTATTTTTTATACATTATAGTTTTAAAACAATCTATATACTTTAAAAAGAGAAACAACAATTTACAGTGTGAAAATAAGGTTATGTAAAACTACACAACCCTTCTCATAAAGTAGCAGTGACAATTTCCAAAATGAAGATACTTAATAAAAAACAAAGCAGTTAGTGGGGGGTGGGTGGGTAGAAGAGAACCAGTAGAACGCACAGAAGACCTAGGTTCTAGATTCAGTTTTGCACTGATTGTGTACCTCAGTCTCAACTTCCTTAGGTCTTAATTTCTTCCCCAGTAAGAAGAGGCAGATGGATCTCTATGCTTCATTTCAATTTTAAACACAGAGACATTCGTATAGTTTGTAAGAAAAGATCTGAAGAACTTTTTGGACAATGAGTTGAATAAGTTCCTCAGATCTTAACAAGAAGGGCCTGTCACCATTCAACTCTCATGGCAATAACTATAAAGCATATCCCATAATTGTATTGTGAGAAAAGAAAAAAATCTACCCTAAGGGCAAAATTATACTTCATATCCTATTTATACATTAAACATAGAAAATGAATGCCTAGTCCCTTCCTGGACTCTAGAAGCACTCTCTGAGATAGCGTCAACTAAAAATCCTAAGATTATGATTGTGGCCAAAACATTCAGCCTATGTTTCTCTCTGCCTTCCCTGAAAGCTGCTAGACAGTTCTAAGGCCAATTAACAATTCTCGTGGGCAGGGCCAAACTTCAGGTTAAAATAAGTACTTATAGTAGTTCAGGGTTGAAACTCTATCAACTTTCAGATTTAGGAAAAGAGAAGAGAAGGAGGTTTAAGGATCATACTGACCCTAAGAAGGATGGACAGTAGAAAAGATATGCTTTATCATCTATAACACATACTTTCATCGTAACCATTATATAAAACTATGGGATATCTTTTTGCTTTGATGTTATTTTTTTCTTGTGAACCTTGTCCTTTAACTATATTCACTGCAAAGAAACAGTCTGAATTGAGAACTGCAGGAGCAATGAGCATATACAAAAATGCTTTATAGAAGATTAGAGACCTGCAAGACATGGATGGACCTATAGACTGTCATACAGAGTGAAGCAAGTCAGAAAGAGAAAAACAAATATCGTATATTAACACATATATGTGGAATCTAGAAAAATGGTATAGATGATCTTATTTGCAAAGGAGAAATAGAGACAGAGACATAGAGAACAAACATATGGATACCAAGGGGGAAGGGGGGTGCGATGAATTGGGAGATTGGGATTGACATATATACACTATTAATACTATGTATAAAACAGATAACTAATGAGAACCTACTGTATAGCACAGGGAACTCTACTCAATGCTCTGTGGTGACCTAAATGGGAAGGAAATCCAAAAAAGAGGGGATATATGTATATGTATAGCTGATTCACTGTGTTGTACAGTAGAAACTAACACAACATTGTAAAGCAACTATACTCCAATAAAAATTTTAAAAAACAATACAAAAAGATTAGAGACCTGCCTTTCCTGATAAGCAAAAAGACAGGTTTACAATACTAGATGATCTCTTAAATTTCCCCTGGTTCTCAAATTCTCATAATTTTATACAGATAATATATTATAATTAAGATTACATATACATATCACTTACTGTTTCTTTTAAACAATATTCATGGATATAACTGCGTTTTTCTAAATGTCTCATTGGTAATACTCAGTCTTGTAAGTCTGGTTCCATAATAATCTATAATGTAACTACTTCCATCTGAAGGTCCAACAATCTAGAAGAGAAAATTTTCCAAATTACCCATTTTACAAAAGATACTTTAAAAATACTTTGAGTTTACTTTTCTTAGGTGTTAATACAATTATTTCAGTAGCACCAGGAATACAACTCTAACTCAAGCAAAAAAAAGTAATTGTGGCTCATGTAGCTGAAAAGCACACTGGGGAAGCTCACAGAATCAAGAGAGCTGCAGGAACTAAGGGCCTCAACGACTGAAACCCCATGCCCCACAAGGCCCTTGGTTTGGCACCCCTGCCTCTTTGTGTAGCTCTGCCTGCCTTCCTTCTAAAGACAGGCACTCTCAATTGGTTGCCAACAGTTCCAGATACACATCTTCGTAGCTCAGTAGCTCCCAACATAAAGTTAAATTTTCTTCCTCAGTGTTTATATAACAATTTCAGGGAAGAACTTTCATTGATCTGCTTGGTTTTTACACCTGTTGCAGAACAAATTACTGAATCCAGGGTAATAGGATTAATATTGGTCAGGCCAGGATCCCTCTGGGAGATGAGACAGGATGACTGACACTCCTACCAGAACCACATGGAATGGAAAAGGAGATTAAAAAAAAAAAAAAAAAAAAGCTCATCCATGCTAATCACAATAATCTTGTCCATTTAATCACATTTGTGACAATTCACTTAACATGATCTCTCTATTATCCTTTAAGATAATAATCTTCACACTGTAGCCTTAGGGGTACACAAGGATTTACTAAGGTATATGTAGACCCAGATAGTTTCAAGAGAATTCATTTTGAGATCCTTAATTCAAGTAAATACTCTTTGTAAAACTGATTCACCTGATACCACACTAGGCTTAAAAGCAGCATGCTAGGTCCCCTGCCCACTTCTTTGCTTTCACTGTGGTCCCTTCTCCAACTTGACAACAGTAAAGCATACCTACAGTAAGGCACACCCTGAATCTTATGATGCCACATTGCCATGAGGTATAAAAGTCTCTGATGTGTCAAAGAAGGGGATAATTCAAAATATTGGATTTCAGGAAATCTCTTTTAATCAAGAGTCCAAAAATATGCTCTGTCACATCTTGTTCAAAAGATGCAGTCCTAGTAAAATTTTACTTTTTTTTAGCTTAAAAATAAATATGCTAATGTTTGTAACATGTTTATGCTATTTTGATCAACTGTATATCAGTAATTATAATGACAACTCAATCCAGAAATCACAGAACATTTTTTAATATTTTAATGAATGAAATGGTCAGTAGAAGATTTTCAAGCATAAAAACATATTGGGGGTAGGGAGGGTGGGAGGGAGGGAGACGCAAGGGGGAAGAGATATGGGGACATATGTATATGTATAACTGATTCACTCTGTTATAAAGCAGAAACTAACACACCATTGTAAAGCAATTATACTCCAGTAAAGATGTTAAAAAGAAAACAAAAGAAGGGGCTTCCCTGGTGGCGCAGTGGTTGAGAGTCTGCCTGCCGATGCAGGGGACACAGGTTCGTGACCTGGTCTGGGAAGATCCCACATGCCGCGGAGCGGCTGGGCCCGTGGGCCATGGCCGCGGAGCCTGCGTGTCCGGAGCCTGTGCTCTGTGGGAGAGGCCACAACAGTGAGAGGCCCGCGTACTGCAAAAAGAAAAAAAGAAAAAAAAAATTTCTCATTTGTATGTAATGAATGTGCATTGTCTAAAATCTGAGTTACTTCTATTTAAAGTTTCTTGTTTCTTCAACTTGAATAGAATAATGTGTAGCAAAACTATGTCCTGAAATTATATTTAAAATAAGCTAACATTCATCATTTTTTTTTTCTAAAGAAGACCTGACATAGGAAATCAGTTGACTGGCCATGTTGCATTCTAACAGAAGAGAGGTTATTTGATTCTTTGCTCTTGGTTGAGCAACTCTCATGGTACTGAACATCTCAAGACATTGTAGAGAGGTTATTTTAATGATAAAAATAGATGATTTTAAGGAAATTTATATTTTGTATGAGTTTGTGAAAATTTCAGTAGAGGCAATACTAAGAAAAATAAAATTTAAAGTGTATAATATACCGAGTAGAACAATGAAGAACCAAAAAAAAAAAGAAAAAAAAAACATATTGGGGGTACTTCCCTGGTGGTGCATTGGTTAGGAATCCACCTGCCAATGCAGGGGACATGGGTTCGAGCCCTGGTCCGGGAGGATGTCACATGGCATGGAGCAACTAAGCCCGCAAGCCACAACTACTGAAGCCCGCGCACCTAGAGCCTGTGCTCCGCAAAAGAGAAGCCACCGCAATGAGGAGCCCACGCACCGCAACGAAGAGTAGCCCCTGCTCGCCGCAACTAGAGAAAGCCCACGTGCAGCAACAAAGGCCCAATACAGCCAAATATAAATTAAATTAAATTAAAAAAAGATTAAAAGAAACATATTGGGGTAAAATTCTGTTGGAGAATGGGAATAGAAATAAAAATTCAAGGAGAAAAAGAAACAATGTAAAAATTATAATAGTGAAGGGTTCATTCATGTCTTTTTAAAGTCAGTGATATTTTAAATTCTATGGTATTTATACTCTGTTGGATACATTTTAAAATTGATGTAACAGTTTTATTTAAATATGTCAATATTTGCAAACTAGAAATTATATCCTTTGCAACTATTTAAACTTATGACAAAACTTAAATGTCAACTTAAAACATGCAGAGGGTAGGGATTAAAAAAAATTTTCTTTTAGGGGTTATGCAACCAGAGTTTGAAGAACACTGCTGTAGCGCATTCTTCACTTTAAAAATAAATTTGGTTTTAAAAACTATTCAACAAATACTTAATTCCTACAGTCCATGCACTGTGCTAGGCATTATACACAGAACAGTGAATAATATATAATCTGCCAACAGGGAGTTTATTCTAGTGAACTATAAATGTTAATATTCAAATAACACTTACAAAGCACTTATGTTCTAGATACATGCTAGGTGCTGTCACGTACTTGGGGATTTCCTCCAAAGATCAAATTGCTTTGTCTTGACATTTATGAATGTTATTTATGAATTTAAGTATAAATTAAAACCTTTTTAATGGTAACATCACAGACGAAACTACTATGAGTATTAAGCAAAGAGAGAAAAGAATGGGTGACTAGAATTTACATGTTTTGAGACCATATAAAGGAAACAAAGAAAAAGGAAAGCCCAGCCAGTAGAAGTAAGTTAAGTCATATGGTAAAAACTTGCCTAATTTGGAATATGTGCACAGATTGGAAGTGGGCCTTTTTTCCTATTATTTTTTTCTTCCTATGCCATCTCCTCTGACAATCTCACTTATCCCTGTTGAAAAAATAAGTATTCAGAAGTTGGAAATAAGGAAAATATGATTGGATGGCCTTTTAATATCATGCATTTCTAATAAGCCCACCTGCAGCTCATTTGACTCTCAGGAAATAGAACTATTTAACTAAAAATTGATTACGGCCCAGATGATTTACAATCTTGTCACATTAGCAGTTAACATATAGAAAAATGATACGGTCGTTTTAGCCTTGTTTCCCCTGTCCTGTAGAGAAGATAGCCCTAAAGATTATAGTTTAATTACCTATTAATACATGATCCAATTTTGTATCTAATTTAGCAATCTTATTACAGCATTTCTTTCCCTTCAAGTTATGTAATTCTGGCTCCTCAACACCTAGTTCTATGGTGGTAATTCCATCCTCTTTCCACGGGTTTGGTTCAGCCTGGGCATGTAATCAATCACCAATGAGATAATAATCTATGAGACAAGTTCAATGGGAGGCTTATCTGCTTTTAAGAAGATATGTGTGAGAGAAAAAGAGATGTTTTTCCGCCTCTGAAAGTAACTACATAGCAAGTGGTGCTAACCAAAGGAACTGAAGATGGCAAAGAGAAGGAAGGAGGAAGGGAAGAAAGGAGGGAGAGAACGAAGGGAAGGAGGGAATAATGAATTTGGATCTTTCACTTTGTCTTGAAGCTCTAAATTAACACATCTTAGAACTACCATATCTCCAGATCCTTGGTATATAATAAACTATCACGTTATTAAAGCCAATTTAAATTGAGGTTTCTGTTACTCATAGCCAAAACTCCAGATAATGCACTTGTCTTCAATGCCTCCTACACACCACTGCCAGATCACCAAAGCATAGTACTAGTTGCTATTCTCTGCTAAAACAATTTGAAGACCTGCTCCAAAGACAACCAAATTAAGTCAGTGTGGTAAAGCATTAGACAGAAAGGAAATCTTGAAGAGAAAACTGTCAATAACTAGTTGTAGGATTAATCCTCTCTGAATCTCCGTTTTTCTTAGCTGTAAATTGAGGAATAGAATAAACGAATCTGTATGGTACTTTTAAAATTTTGCATCTTGTTTGACTGACATTTAAAAGCAAACAACTCTACAAGGTATTATCAACATCCTTTTCTATCAATTATCCCAGCAAAGAAGAAACTGCTCTCCCTACTTAATTTTTAAGAAAACTATCAGCTGTAAGGGTTTCAATTATTTAAGTCCATATTCCCTCACCAAAATTAAACCTGTTTTTAAGCATCTATATTATACACTTATGTATAATACAGTGCCAATTATAAATTACTTTATTTTTAAATTTAATTTTATTTATTTTTTTATACAGCAGGTTCTTATTAGTCATCAATTTTATATACATCAGTGTATACATGTCAATCCCAGTCTCCCAATTCATCACACCACCACCCCCACTCCCCCGACTTTCTCCCATTGGTGTCCATATGTTTGTTCTCTACATCTGTGTCTCTATTTCTGCCCTGCAAACCGGTTCATCTGTACCAATTTTCTAGGTTCCACATATATGCGTTAATATACAATATATAAATTATCATAAGTATATTATTGTACTGTTAAATATAAAACTACAAATTTTAAAAAATATCTCATACTGAGAAATATTTTACTCAGTTAAATATGCCTATGTCCACTTGTTCATTGACAATAGAGTATGAAACCTAAAATGATGTGTTTACTTCTCTCCTACGAAATAGCCTGAA